AAGGCACTCACTCTTCTGATTTAAGTTCACATTTTGTATCAAAATCATTTAGGTTCACCCAGCAATTTAGAGCTGAAGTGAGACATCATGCTAATTACAAAGAATAGCACAAGTTGAGTACATTTGCAAAAACAAGGTTGCATAAGAAGGAAAACGAAAAACAGTTCTTAAATGCTGGAGTGAGAACAAATAGGTGTGTTCTGTAGTATGCCTCCAACGGGCGTTTATAATTACCCCTCTTTAAGGCATATTGTAAGTGGAGTTGTAACGGTAGCTTGAAATGTAAACTAGAGAAGGATCCAGTTGTACAGGCACAGAACAGAATGGGGAGCGCAGGCCTGTGGGAGCACAGCATAGCTGCTTGTGATAGAGTATGCTGCTGGGTCTTAATCCTCCAGCATGAAGTCGGCCTTGGGAAGCCTATGATTTAGAGGTGTGTTTGTACACTGCATTGCATCTATTAACTCCTGCAAATTTTCCCCCAAATATGTGGCCAACACAACATTATTTCAGAATTTGCGTGGGACATGGATCTAGGTTAAGTTTAGCAGAGTCCTTTGGCTCTCTTACAAGGCAACAGTCTTTGCAAGGCTCAGCCGGGGAGGAGTCACTTTCCCATGTACTCTTGTGACTGTTGGTCAGATTCAATTCCTTGTGAGCTGTTGGTTTCTAAGGCATCGGTTCCTTGATGCTCTTGGCTGGAAATCTCCCTTGGTTCCTTACTACATGGGCCTCTCTATTGAGTGTCTCACAATGAAAAGGAGCTTATTAGCAAGAAGGAGGTCACAGGCTTTTGCAACATAATCGCAGAGGTGACACACCGTAACTTTTGTTGTATTCTGTTCATTAGAGGCAAGTTCCTAAGTTCAGTCCAATCTCAAGGGGAGGGGATTACAGAAAGCCCTGCATACAGGAGATGGGGTCATTGGAAACCAGGTCAGAAATTGCTTATAACAAGCATAATGCTAGTGTTCTCTTGCTGTGTCTGAATGATAAAACATAGGGTGATCTGTGGTATGGCTGTCTCTCTGTCTGCCTATCTCTCTATCTATCTGCAGTGCTAAGGATAGCTTTTATAAATACTAATTTGGGGTCATTGAATATGGTCTCCCTTATGTACCACATTGACAAAGTATTGAGCTGAGACCTCAGAAGACCAAAGGAACAGGTTTTCAGAGATGGCGTAAGTCAGGGCCCCTCTCTGAGGTCATGGAACAGAGTAAGGACAAGGGGCCCTTATGGCCTTGTTAGCATGGTACTCTAAACACAGAAAGCGAAGTCCTCCATCTTGTATTTCATTATGTGTCACAAGGTTTTAATTGGTACTTTACAGCTTATTAGGGGGAAGGGAACCCTATGCATTTATGTATAAAGTTGCTATTAAGATAATAGAATGGGAGGTTTTGCTTGTTTTAATGGTCCCCATGTCCTCACTTCCAATTTCCTGAGTCCGAACATACATGTTTAGCAGCAAAGTGAGTAAAGGGATATGAATTTAGATTATGTGGCAACTGCTGAGGAGTCTTCTCATTTTGACTTTAGAAATGCTATTGGAAAATCTATATGTGTTTTAAAAGGAAGAATGTAGATCTAGGTTTTCTTTGCTGGTTGCAGGTTAGCACCTCTTTTTGGTTGAAATGTTTTAATGCTTTTGTTCTAGTTGCCTTTGGTTGGCTTCTGGAGGACCAATAGAGCCTCTGTTAAGTCCTCCAATAGGCACACCTGAGCCACCCTCGCAGGCTCACACAGCACCAACACTCCCCTCGCAGCACTGTGCAAGCCCAGGTATCTCGTGGAGGCTCTAGCCATTCTCACCTGTGGTTTGTGTTTGTGTCCCAGCTGGAAAAAGCACAAAACACAGCAGGATCAGGTATCTTATGTATCTAAGCATCCACAGCATCCAATAGCAAAACTGGCACATAGTAGGAATTTTAAGAGCATTTGAAATGATACCTGAAGGTGCAATAATATGGAAGGCATTTTGATCATTATTCACTATTGGTTTTCAATGTTGATTATTAATTTTCTAAGGAGAGCAGTGGAAGATATATTTATAATGCATATATTATTAAAAATAATGGTGGTCATTCTAAAGTGATATTTCTCTGGAATCATATGGATTAATATCACTACCTTCTAACAGAGGTCAGGCATATTTTAAGTTTTCACTCTCTCACTTCTATCCTTTGTTCCATCATTTAGTTGTAGGATCATGAGAGAATTTTCTTTCTATGTTTGTGGGACTATTACATGTTTCATTTCCTTTCTTATTTTCTGTGTTTTTTGAGACAGGGTCTCACTATATAGTTCAAGCTGGCCTTGGACTTGTGGAGATCCCAAGTGCCACCACACCTAGTTCATTATTTTGTGTTTTTAACATTCAATCCTCTGCCTTTTGTGTACCTGTGAATAGTCAAGCACTTTTGTATTATCGTATATCTTGAAATATCACTGAAAATTAACTATCTTTTTAAAAAAAGTAGTATAAAGGCATCCGATGTCTGTTAGCCAAGGGTTGTAGGGTGAAGAAACCTTGAATTTAACATGGAATAAATTCATACTCTCTGTTTTAAAACTATTTATAAGAAATGGAGTTTTGCTGGTGTATTGGAATTTTTTTTTCCCATTTTCTGGTTTTAGTTTTGTGTTCCAATATGGCAGATAAGAAAGAACTCAAGTTAAACTAACCTAGCAATCCATACCTCTCAGGTTGACCATTAGGGTTAGGAGTTCGCTGTGGGGACTCAGGCTGGAAAGCTATGCAGCGAGCCTGTGGCATTTGGTCTGTACCTGCATTCACAGGTAATACTGTATGTTAACATTCTCTGTCCATGAGGACTAGGTGGTAAAAAGTATCACAAGGCATCAATCATGTCATCATCCATCCACTTTCCTGGTGAGAGGAGATGAGATAGTGCTAGGGGAAGAGAGGTTTTGATTTTATATTTTATATAAATACATTTCATGTTTTTAAGTCACACAAGAACACAGCTAATCTAGTAGCTAAGGCTCCAGTCCTCCTTGTGAGCTGGGAACAGAGGAACTCTAGATTTTTTTCTGCATGGCTTATCCCTTGCTGCTGTTCAATTATTCCACTAGACTCTCCAATAATTTTTATGTCCTGGATTTATTTCTTTTTAATAAAAGTCAGAAAGAGCTATTTTAAATCCAGGAAGCTTCTCACTGAAACAATTAAACATTTGATCCCGCTTTGAGCCTGTTCCCCTTGCGGTAGCATGTGTAAAATCAGTTATTTGCATGTGGCAAATCAAGTTCACAGGGCTTGAAGTGAGTTCATCTCAGCTCAGAAATCTATAGCATAGCTGTGCAAGTACCCGTGTGTCACTCTTCCACCCCACTTCGTATGAATTAGACACATGCTGTCTCAAGAACCCACGGTTTTCTGATGAATTGGAGTCACCTACGTGTGCTGCATTTTGTGACAGGCACATTTGCAGTTGGGGGCCACAGGAAGGACACCATTTCCTGGATCAAACCACAGAGTGCAAATATTGTGCCCTAAATAACACACTAGTTACTGTAAATGTCAGGAGAGGGAGTTTTTCCGACTTTGATTTAATGAAAGCCTACTAGTAGCAAAGCCAGCTGTTAGCACTTCTTAACTGCTTGTCAGAGGGATCTGGGGAGATGGCGATGCCTGAAAACATCTTTTCTCTTACTTTTGCTTTAAAATTAAGAGTTTCAACAGGTGTTAGATAATGACACCAGGGGTCCTTTAGTGCTTGACTTCTTTTAGGTGGTGAATTTATAAGCTCTACTGCAGGACATTTACACAGATCTGTAGTCACACAAGGAGACTCCTGTACAATGAGTTTGGAGTTTGCATTTTGAATTCTGTCACCTGCAAAGTAAGCATTTTTGTTTTCTGGGTTCCTCATGGAGAAGAGTACAAAAATGAAAGAGAGAAAAGGCCTACCAAATGCTGGTTTTCTCTTTGTCACTTTGGGTATTACCAAACTAATTTCAAGCCATGTGTGCTTTGATTGATGTCATCTGCTTTTTCTGAACAAAGAAACCACTTGAAGCAAGCACATAGGGAGGAAAGTATGCAGTCTTTGTTTCTGTAATTTTTGTCATTCTAGAGTGCATTAGTAAACACATGTGGTTGTTAAGGGTCTTACCCCCTTGGGAATCCTTTTGACATTATGCTGTGAATACTAAGGGAAGATAATCTTTCAAATGTAGGGAAAGTTTGCAATCTTATTATTTTGAAGAAGAGAAGAAAGTTTCTTCCTCAAATGATTTATAACTTGAAACATGTTGCCATGTTTTGGTAAGCCCACTTTATTAATTCCATCCTTCTCTGTGGCAAATTTAGAAAAAAAATAAATGTGCCATTGCAACATAGTACTTTCTCAATAGCATATTGTACTTATAAGAGCATGATGGAAGTTGCTAGGCTTGGTTTAGTCAGATAGAAAGTGGAGCCAAGTTCTGAGCAAAACCTCTAATTGAATTACCTGAGGAGCACTGACAGACGAGCTTTCAGGACAGACAAAGCTCTGCTTTCCCCAACAGAAATAGGTCATGTTTAAGTCAGCCTTGCAACTCTGTGTCACTGGTTCTTGCTCGCACTTCTGCCAGCAGCCTTTGGTGGGCCCCTTTCTCTGCAGTGGGAGAGAAGCAGCTCATAAAACAAGAGGGCTCAAGCAATGTCCTACTGATTTACAGAAAACTGATAACAGAGCAAGTTAAATGGAAAACACCTTTGAAATAAAAGTCCAAAGTATTTTTCCACAGATTACCCATATTCTTGCTTGCTTCTTTGCTGTAGTGAAAGAAGATAGGAGATGAAAGGAGTCCTATCCTGAGCCCTCAGATCCATCCACTAGTTTTGTTTGCGTTATCTTCTGACAAGAATTAGGTTAGGTAGCTATTGCCCAAGAAAGAGTGCATAGCAGACGATTTGCACGTGAAAACTAAGAGTAATTGGCTGTTGTTCTCTCCTTTCTCCCTTGTCCTCTTTGTCTTATCCACAGCCTCTGCAATTCCAGATAATGGAAGAAGGTCCTGCCTAAAGCTCAAAGTCTTTGTGAGACCAACAAGTAAGTTCCCTAGAATGAGCGTCAGAGGGTGTCTTCACTGCGCATGCTCTATCTGTGGTCTGGTTCAGAGCGGTAAAACTTTTTTTTTAACTGTTAAATCTTGTGTGGTATCTGTTTTGTATATCAACGTTCATGTTTTAGTTTCCATCATATTTTTTCTCATCATTCTCCATGATGCTTTTATTTAAATACACAGCAGTTGCTAACTTGTTGTTTCTTAGATTGTTGTACGTGCATAGCAAATGGGAGCAATATTGGCATCTGGATACATGCCACTGATTGTAAAACAATCTCTGCATAAGTAAAAGGAAAAACTAGAGAGAAAGAAAAAAGAAAGAAAGAAAGAAATGGGAGTTTAAGGGTGTCTTCACTAACATATTTGGCTGTTATCTCTATTTTTGTTATAGATAGCTGTATGAAAACTATAGGTGTTCATGATCGAGTTTTCGATGTTAACGACAAAGTAGAAAATTCATTAGAACCAGCAGGTTAGTATGCTTAGAGAATCTCTTTTAACAAATGCATCTATCTCTCTGGTGCTTCAGTACTTTTTTTTTCCTTTCTTCTCCTCTGCATGTTTGCATGTTATAGTTGTTCTGCTTTTGCCCATTGCTAGCAGTGCTAATATTACTTATCTCCTACCTCATTCTTCCAGTATCTTTGTGTAATGCATGCTGGATAAAATATAACTTTTCTTTTTGGACATGGGTTTCATTTAACACAGTATCCTAATCTAGAAGTCCCACCAGAATGCTACAATCTCACTGCCTTGCCCCATATCCTCAGAGCATGCTGGTGAATCACTGAATCTTAAAGGATCTGTTTTCATGTAAGGCAGAAAACATTTCTGTTGTATATGTTCATAAAATTTTCTTTTTCTAATAGCCAATTCTATGGATAAAAGTAGTAAGACTATTGCACAAAACACCCACTAATCCAGCAGACTTAGTTTTCCCTAGGAATTCACATGCATCATGGAACTGATCTAAACAACTTTGTTCTATTTCAATATTAATTTTGTTGTTGTCCATAGCAGTTGGTACAAAGAAGTATAATCATATCGCCACAAGTTCCCACACCTGCTGCCCCCACAAATGTATGCGGTAGCTCATTCAGACAAATGTGATTCCTGAGACAAAATAAGTTTTCAGGATAGACCCATTTTGTACTACTCAATTTCACATACCCAAACCTTCCCATTCCTGTGAGGGAAAATAAAGGCCACAAGAGCACTCACCTAGCATTTACACTGCAGCATACTGTGGAAAGTAACCCAGAAGCTATCCATTTGGTGATACATTCAATCTGACTATTCAGTGAGCCAGACTTCTTGTGAAGGGAGGGCACCTTCTGTCTATCCACTGTTCATTGAAGAGTGTGCCCAGGGCCTCTGTGTGTGCCCCCTCCTGTGCGACATATTTTTTCCACCTACCTGCTCAAGATCTTCATGGCTTTCCTCGGTCATCTCCCATGACCATCTCAAAGCTTAAAGCAAGTAAAATTATTTTCTCTTCACACCAAGATTTGAGCCCCCTTCTATAAAGATTTGGGTTTTTTTTTGTAGTAAGACTTTTCTTTCTTCTGACCCTAGAAATGAAAGCGAGTGGAGGCGCACTTTATCCTGAGTATTGTTAGGGGGTAACAGTCCCGGAGCCTTAGGGAAACTCACCCTGAGTAGATGCTGCGCCTCAGGACATACAATAGCTTTCCCGTTGTAACTGACAGGAAGAGTTAGCTCTTTTTCCCCAAGCATTCCTGTCTTTCTAAGGCAGCCATCTCACCCCGAGTGTAAACGAGAGGTGTAGACGATGAGCTTTCAGAGACCTTAGTGGCTTCCAGGGATCAGGAGTGCTTTAGAAAGTTGCACGGAATGAGTCCTGACGGGGAGACATTTTAACTGTGTCCTGGAAATCTGGGAGCATTACTGTGGCCTTTCAAGGGACCGCATTCCTCCCAGGTTTGAGGACATAGGCCATTCTAGAAACTACAAGTTCAATAAGGTCTCTTTTAAGGAGTATAGAGTCTAAGTCATCCTCCTGTGCCTGAGAATTCCAGGGCCACAGAGCTAGTTAGACAGATCCAAGCTTAATATTCATATCTCTTGGCTCCCACTTTTATTAGTATAAAAGTGCTATTTTAAAAAAAATATATTTCTAGAAGTAAAGATGAACAGAATAAGTACTTAACTTTCCTGGCTCTGTTGATAAGTCACAAATAGAATGACCTGCAGAGTTAGGCATGTTACCAATAAAACATGCCTGAGATTATGATTTTTTGATACATGTGTAGAATGAAGGCGTATCTTTCCTCCACTCCTTTTCCCAGGTAAACTTCAATGCCTATCTAAAGAGCAAGAGGCTGTTCGAAAACAACAGGTTGCATGTTTTTCTCTGGGGCTAAAGAGACACATTGAGGCACATTAGGAAAATTATCTTTAAACTCAATTAATGATAAAATACAATATGTTAAGATGCTTTTGTATATAAGCATATGTCATTATCTTTTGGGTAATCAGCTCTCTTTCACTCAATATTTAGTGCCCCCAAGTCTATGGTGGAAGTTTCCAAAACTATAGCAGAATGTATTTGAGTGTGTATATGCGTGTATGTGTGCATGTGTGTGTGTGCATGGTTGTGTTGGAGAACAGAACATAGGTGTACCTGCAGGAAGAGCTCTTTGAGTCAGTCATGGCCATATTTAAGTATCTGCTGGTGAACAGCTTCAGTAAAAATGATGCAAGGTGAAACCATCATCCCTGGCAGTGTAAATACAGTAACAAATTTGAGTACTTCACTTTATTCTTTAGAAAATTCAGTCAGACCTGAAGTTCTTCCCCTGGTTGAGTATGAATACTTACCTTTGCCCACCTCTGCGAGTAGAGGCAGACTATGAATCCAGCGGCCCTGGAAGGGTCCCACTGCATGTTCTCAGCATATGTACTAATTCACCTGTCTGTGGAATGTATTTGTCTTTTTTGTTTGCTTGCCTACTCTGCCTGCCAGTTTCCTGTTATCAGGGATGGAGAATGATCTCAGGGCAGACATATGACACAGCACATGCTCCAAAATGCCGCTAGTGTCCTCTCAGTTACCCGCTGAAACCCCCATGTGGTGGAATCCTGTAGCCAGGAGACAAGACTTGATTTGGCTTCTGAAGAGGACCATTTTCTTCTTCCAGTCCATGTTCATTGTTACAAGACTTAGAAATTCTCTCATATTTAGGTGTAATTGCCATTGGAATAGATGTTGCTTAGGAATTCCTCTTTAGAATTTTGATAGTGCACGGAGTTGCCTAAATGATAGCCACTTCCTCATTTCAATCTTGGGGGCCATAGAATTGCCCATCGTTGAGGCTCTGACTTAACCAAAGTGTGCTTTGTACAGTCCTAATCGGAGAACGCCATGTTGCAGAAACAAGAGAAGAATCATGGTGTCTTTATGTGTGGCCCAGGCTCTCCTTTTTGGGAGTACGATTGAATGTATTCATTTATTGCTTAGGAAAAGGTTAATTCTAGAGATGGCCAATGAAAGGAACAGGCAGCCTCATGCTTCACTTACATGAAAAAAGAAAGCCTTTCCCTTAGTTATCCTGCAAGATTCTTTCACGAGGTCTGGGGCCGAGTGAGCCTACATTGATGGCCAGGGCTCAAGGAACGCCGGGAGTGGACCAGAAGCAGTAGAAGAGTCCCCCTCATGCTTACACTGAGCACCTAAGTTCTGCTTGGATACCTTTTGGCAGTGTACTTCCAAGCTACACAAGAAGGGTTGTGTAATATGTTAGTAAGAATAAGGTAGACAAGAACCCATGATGCAATTTCAGTTGTGTGAGCAATGTTGCAAAATGAGTTCTGGAATCCTCCATTTCTTTCTCAGTTAAGCCTGAAGTACCCCATTGTTTTGACTGATATCATTGTGGTGCTCTTCAAAAAGTTATTTGGATTTTAATTTCAGGGCTATTCAGGGCCTTGACTTTTACCTCCTGTTAACTATAGATTTAATGAATATCTCTGCAAGTCTAAAGAAGGGCAGAGAAAAGGGGAGAGTCTGTGAGTACTTGGCTACATTTTGCAGAAATCAGTATATTTTTCTCTGCATTGCTCACCTTCCCATTCTTGCTTGCTAACCTTTTCCAGTATCCTAAGCTAAAACCACTTTGTAGAGGTTTGCTAAGGTCTAGGAAAGGGGAGCAAATCAGACAAAGGGACGCAGCAGCTTCTACGTGAGGACGGGCTAATATGATAAAAGTGCTTACCTCCAGGGTAGAATATAAAGTACTGAGAAGACATATTTCTTAGTTCACATGGGGAATGAATGCGATGGACAGAAACATCTCAAATGAGCCTATCTGAAGCAGGTGCCAGAGGTCATTTTAGGTCAAATATCAGGGACTGTGACTCTACCCGACTGTGACATGTTACGTGGTAGAAAAATATAAATGCATTTAAAATAATGGATAGTTAATCCTTGGAAAGGCTCAGTGTAGGTCACTCAGGGATATTTCGGGGTTGTCTTTCGAGGTCTGCAGAACAGAGCAACCACTAGAGTCTCATTTATCACCATCCTCTCTGATTGACCATTGAGTGAGTCCCAGATGGCCATTGCTGAGATCCTACAGGAAGTTCCTTTGCTGCTGAATCAGATCTGCACAGAGGCCCACTGTTGTCCTCGGGAGCGAGTCATTCAGGGGTCACTTGGTGTGGAAGCACAGAGGGAGCAGGAGGCCAGGTAGAAGGAAGAAGACAGGCCATGCGAGAGAGTAGCATGGCTTCTGGGCAAGCCTCCATCTATCTTTGGGCACTAATTACTGCAAAGTTCCCATTTCAAAGTTAAGCCTGTTAATCATGCAGATCAGGGAGGCTATCCAAAGTCAGAGGCAGCCTTGTAGAACACTTTATAGCAAAATAAAAGAAGCTTAATTCACTTAATCCATTTTATTTAGAGGAAAATTTGCATCCATGCTGATAATTTATGTGCCAAGCTTCAGCCTGATAAAAATAAAAATAGTCAAGTTCAAGTAATTTAATCCTGGAGACACAGGGCCTATAACAGAAATAGTACCATAATTGATTTCTAATTGTAGGCACATCAGTGGGTCCTGGCTTACTGAAATTTGCTGGGCATTATACATAGTTTATTTAAAATGCTGTTGGTTTGGCACTCAACTTTCACACTTGAAAATTCACCTAGGAACCCAACAACCGAGCATGGAACTTTAATCCTATGAAATGGCTAAAAAGAGAAGAATGAGTGACCCTTTCTGGTTAACCACTAATACGCCGACACAACCGCCTCCTTTCCCTGTGTCCGTGCTTTCCTTCCTGTGCATTTGAGATATTTAATGGGCACATTCAGTAGCTCATGTTTCTGCAAGGTGTACTTGACTGCTAGCAGACCAAAGTAGCTCAAGTCGCAGAGGTTACGGTGTACGCACCGTTTCCCTCTCCTCAGTTTTAAAGGAAAGTACTGATACTGCCGGGGAAGTCCAATTTCCTCTGCCTCTCTCTTGTTTGCTGTAAATAATGAGTGATTATGCAGACATGAAAGTCAATGGTGGCACAAGGTTCATTACCCTACTTTGCAGAGGGTGGCGAGGCCTGTGAACAGCAGGCTGCTGCAAAAGTGTTATTAAGGATGTGAAATCTCATTGGAACGTGTGCTTTCTATTTGAACAGATGACACCGTACATGAGTCAGCCGAGCCATCCCGCGGCGAGAATGCGGCACAAACACCAAGGATACCCAGCCGCCTTTTGGCAATCCTACTGTTCCTCCTGGCGATGCTTTTGACATTATAGCACAGTCTCCTCCCGTCACCTGTCACGGAAAACATCAGGGTCTTGGAACACCAGAGATCCACCTAACTGCTCATCCTAAGAAGGGACTTGTTATTGGGTTTTGGCAGATGTCAGATTTTTGTTTTCTTTCCTTCGGCCTGAATTCTAAGCAACAACCTGGAGTAGGGAGGCTAAACCAGTTGCTGCCTCCCTAACCCCACCCCCAGCCCTTGCCCTTGACTTCTCTCACCCTCTCCAAATTAAATGGGCCCCAGATGAAAATGCCAAATTGTCGTCGTGACACCAGTGGTTTGCCGGCTCCTGGCATTCTCCTCTAAGAGCTCACCTGCATTAGTGCACTATTGGCGGGACGCGGACCAGGGGTAGTGGCAGATGCAGCTAGTGATGGCCAGGCCCGAGGGGTTTCGCTCTCCTATACAATATTTATGCCTTCTCATTCAGGACTGTAAGATGATCATGTGGGGCATCGTGTCTCCATGTCAGGTCCAGAGAGGCGGTATTAAGAATAGATATAATATTACACCATTTCCTCTAGGAGTGTATAAATGAACAGGCTTCTAAAAGGTTGAGACACTGGGATTTTTTAATATGACTGTCTTAAAGCATTCTTGACAGCAAAACTTGTGCTCTATAAAAGAAGCCGTTTTCTCTTTTTTTTTTTTTTTCCAGGAGGCGGGTTGGGTGCAGGAATGCTAACACAGAGCTAGTGTAAGAACAGAGAAAACTATGTTTGGTGGGGTGTGTATGTGTGAGTGCCTCTAGTGTTTTTGGTGACCGGACAGTGCACACCAGATTTTTTTTCCTTTGAATACAGATCACCATGGTGCTACAACTTTTTTTTTTTTTGAAACTCAAAGAGGCATTTTTATGAATAAAGTGACCTTCCCCAAGGCTGACAAGCCAGGGTTGATGAGTGCAGAGAGAAATAGCTTCGGCTGCTCCTCTGAGGGACAAGTGTACCAAGGAAAGGCAGTCAGTGGCCAGAGGAGAAGTGAGCTAGCTTTGCTGAAGCGCCAGTGTGCTGTGGCCTTTTGACTCCCACCCCGATGCCCACGGTTTGCTGCACAGGGGCCTCAGATACAAACCCCTGTCACCAGGAGAGGCAGTCAGCACCACTTGGGAGGGCTAAAGGGAAATTTGGAATAAAAATTCCAAAGTTCGGAATAAAAAAATTTCAAGTGTTGATTTTATATTCTTTCCCTTTCTGACACAGCCTAAAGCGTAGGGGGAACATGTGTTTATCTGTGGGAGATAAACAAGATGGAGTCCCAAAGACTTTAACAAAATATTTTTTTAAAAATCCACTAGAATAGAAAATACATTATTTAGATATACTTTATGCTGAGAGTGAGTATATATGCTTGTCCTATTTAAACATGTGAGAAAAAGTGGTATCCCTTGATACATTTAGAAATACAGGGGGGCTATCTTGTTTCATTGTGGGGGTGGGGCAGAAGGAGAATAAACATAGGATGACCCTGTTTAAGGAATTTTAGCCCGGCCAACAGGGGACATTTCCAGTTGATTACCAGGAAATGCAAGCCTTGGGGTTTCTGCTGGTGGGGCTCTCATGAACTTTAAACTCCAAAGCCTAGGCAGGGAATAGTGTCAGACCAATGGAAAAGCGATCTAGCTTTTTTTGCTATTGCACGACATGTCAATAGGAACCATGCCTTTCAAAGTAAGTAAATCAATAAATGCAATGATCATGTAAAATGTGAAAAAGTTGAAAGCATTCCAGCAAAATGAGGATTTTTTATATATTCGTTTTTTAAGATGTATATATAAAAAAAGGGGGTCATATTATGGACAGACTTCATGAATGGAAAGTTGCTTAGAATTGTGAGTAGTTTGGAATTAGAAAAATATGTGAATGAAAGGCAGCTGTAAACGTACTGCACCCTAGAGAGTTGTACACATGTTGAAATGTAATCTGGGCTTACCTGATCCGTGTGGAGCGGATGTTACTACTGAGTCTGTTCTCACTTGGAACCGTGAGGCTGGGGTTGCCATCCTCACAGATACAATCAACCCTTTTCCCCTGAAGTCAGGAACTTCTCTGGAGTAGCAGGGTCTTTCACAGAAGGCACCCAGCATTTCACTGAAACAACAGCTCACAGCACCCGATTTTTTTTCCTTTCACTATTTATATGCTCAGTGTGCTCTGCAATATGCAGAAATACTCTCATTTTTATCACTAGTTACAGGCTTGTTGGTCCAGTAGGATTTGAGTAGGGGGAAAGAGATATACCTTCTAAAATGGATCAATAGTCAGAAACAAATAATATGCATGTTCTGTAGCCAAGGAAATCAAACGATCCTGTAATGATTCCAGTTACTCATAACTACATTAGCAGTGCTAATTTCATTTTAGAGATGGTGACTTCTGTGGTTTTTCTAGCATTTGTCTCTAACAAATGAGAAAATAATTACTCATGGCCCTCTTTGCCATTGTCTTTCATTTTTCATGGGGAAATTAGACCCTTTTACTTCACCGTTGTACCACCACAAATGAAGTAAAAACAAACAAAATTAGCAAGACTTCCCACAGCAGTAGATAGTATGCTTCTCTACCTATAAGTGACGTAATCATAGCGAATGCGCTTGCCTTGGAGCTTTCCAGAAGATGATTGATGCCAGACAGTTTTCATCTTGTCCAAATAGTGCTGGTGGCCTTTTGTGGTGATGTTACAATCCTCTGGGGGCATAGGAGGATGTCGATGCAACTCTGTAGCAGCTTTCAGTTTAAAAAACAATTCAAAAGCTTGAAGGGCAACCTTAGCCGGCCCTCAGCCTCAGTTGGTCAAACCCCAGAGACCTTTGCCCCTGGCTGCCAAGGGCTTTGCTACACGAAGCAGGGAAATAAGGATCTGTCTGTTTAGTGGATACCGTGTATCCTTTAATAGACCAGGTAACAGTTCGTGTTAGTTTAGACTATTGTTTTGTACTGTACTTTCTTGGGTGGCAGAGGAAAAAAAAAAGGTAAACATTAAAAAAAAAAAACCTGCGTTCTTTAAATTCTGTATTATTAGCAACCTCTGTTGTATATAGTGTTTGATAATAAAGTATTAATTTGATTCTTATGTCTTTTGTAAGTGAGAACAATAGACTTTCGGGATACAAAACATGCATCGAGGCTTTGAAACATCCAATGTGTCCATGGCTGAGAAAAGTCACAAATGGCTGAGACACTGCTCCATACAGGACTCACGTGTGGTCCATCGCCCACCCCATCCTAAGACTCCATCATCTTGTGACCTGGAACAAAATGACTTTTTCTGATCACTCTTATGTCCTCAATGTTCTCAAGGTCTGATGTTGGAGCCCTGTGATCCTTCCTTACATTACGCATGTGGTTTGAAAAAAGGCTAGACAACGTAGTAACGGTTCTGTACTTTGGTTTGGTTTTCTGTTTGTGGTCGTTTCATGGACTGTTTCATTTCCTCCCCAGTAAGAGTCCTGTCAGTATGAAGAGCAGCCCAGGCACAGGAATGACCGCATACCCATCCCTTTAGGAAGGTTAAAGGGGGCGCTGTTCCCCTCTCTGTGTCCTTGTGAAAAAAAGAGTCACACAGTACCTGTGGATTTTCGGAGACTCTGTTTTTCTCCGGTGCCTTAGCAATGGCTGCAGCCATTTTATTTGTTTCCAAAAATTAGGGAAAAAAAGTTTTAAGTTCTCTCTTTGGTTCATTGCTCTCAGAGTTGTGGTCACTAGCTTTTCTTTTGAAAACATCTCCACTGATACTCCCATTTGCCTACCCCCTGACTTTTTATGTTTATTTAATTTTTTTTGTCTCTTGCCTTCTTTTTTTTTTTTTTGGTCTTTTTGAGACAGGGTCTTGCTATGCAGTTCAGGCTGACCTTGAGCTCACTTTGTAGCCCAGGCTGGTCTCGAACTCGCAACGATCCTCCTGCCTCAGCCTCCCGAGTGCTGGGATTACAGGCGTGCACCATCTTGCCTTCTTCTCACTTTTTCTTTTCCCCCAGAGCCGTGAATGGGCAGGTCTGTCTCTGCTTTGGCATCACTGAGTTTTTCCCATGCGTTTGCCCCAGAGCTGCTCCAGTGTGAGACAAATCTCCCTACAGTGGGCTTGCTCCCATTGCTCATACAGTTGAATAGATGCTGGCATGTTGGAGGTTACCCATGAGTCAAAGTCCACTTTCCATGCTTACTCTCGACACCTCATTGAAGCCATTCATTGTGTGTGCGTCTGGGTGTGGAGTCCAGCTCCATGTGGTCCTGTGCTTGTACTGCCCTGCTTTGCAGTTCCTTTGCACTTACTCATCGAGTGCTGTTTTGAAATGCTGACATTATATAAACGTAATAGAAAATGTAAAAAAAAAAAACCCACACACAAACAAACCCATAAGATCTGTATTTGTATATACACGTGTCCGTACAAGTATACCTAAATAAAAATTAAAGATTTTCACCATTTTAATTGGATCCCTCCTACTTCTTTATGCCTTGAATGATGCCTTTATTTCAGGGGCTACTTGTACTCTGCTGATTTTTCAAAATCTTTGTGGACAAAAAAGATAATACAACATGCACAAGAGGAAGCCTGGGAAGCTCAAAGAATGCAGGGTTAGAAATGACCAAGTGTCTAGGCACATTGCAGTTATTCTGATGAGATGATGAGATTTCAGTCTTGTCTCTGTATCTGAGCCCTAAAATGGACACTATGACAAGCCCTGCATCTTAAAATGACTTAAATATAATAGAAGGTATAGAAAAATTACATTCTTTCATTTTGCACATATTTTTTCACCCCATCAAAAAAGAACCAAATAAATATTTTCTTAGCAAACATATTTGAAAAGGATAACAACAGTAAAAAAACAAAAAAATTCACTTCAGTAAGACCTCAAACCTTTTACCAAGGAAAGATTAACTTACAAATGTGTGACCTTGGGCAAGTCACACAATATCTTCCGGACTCAATTCCATTATAACAGGGATTTGGAAGTGATTTTTAAAGATTTTTTTGTTTGATTTCTGGATTCTGCTCTTGTACACTGTGAGACATGATTTACATCCAAATGATGGGGTTTCTTTGTCTTTGATGATGATATTGCTATAAGCACAATTTGAGAATTTCACCTGCGAGAGAAAAACAGCAAATATCTGATGTAATAGATACCTAATGCATTTCAAGACTTGGCTTTAATTACACCATGTTAACATTACACTCATTGAGGCCATTTTATTATACTTAATTATTTGATAGGGCATTAAGCACTAATTAGAAGTTATCACTTTTTCTAATGAAGAATGACAGCTTTATAGAATGATAACATATTTTAAAGAAAAATATACTGGACTAGCTATGTGACATTTCCTAACCAGAACAGCATTATGTTGTCATCACCATCTTCATCTTCATCATCCAAAAGCATTTAAGTGATCATGACATTGTGCTCAGCGCTATACAGACTAACACCTATGATCTGTACTTTCAAAATGTACAACATAAGGCAGACATTATGTATAAGCATAACAGTAATGATATGTAAAACAGGAAAAAAACATAAAATCCAAAGATTTGTACTATGTGTACATAACAGGGGAGATTGTTTTTCTTACAACAAAAGTGAGTGAAAAACAGTTTGGAATTTTAAGACTAGAAAGCTTAAGTTAAAAGAAATCACCTTTTAAAATCAACAAAATGAGGTTAGAAGCTTCTTATACAATCAAAACTTGGTGAGGTAAAAACCTTTGTAGGCTTTATTAAGAGACTGATTAAATGTATGGAGTAGGTTTTCACAGTAGCTACAAAGGTGACTGAAAATGAGGGAAGCCAAATAAAACCTGAGTGTCACTGAAACACATTTTGAAGATATTTGTCCAGAGAAATCACCATTTCTTCCCCTAAGGAAATAGGGGAAAGTGATGAAAAGATGACAATTTCAGATTCCACTTTATAGAATAATCAGATAGCTGCTCCCGAAGCCAAGACCATATCTACACAAGATTGTAACACATCCAAGATCTGAGCAAAGGTGAAGCCTGCACACATACACAGATCGGGGCAATGGGGTAAAATAGAAAACATGCAAATGTAGAGGTAAGATCCTTTGATAGCGACTGTGAGTTACTGATTGAGGGGAAAGTCAGTAGACAGCACTGCACAGTTTAACGGGAAAGAAAGCTGTACCAGAGACAGGACAAGGAGCAGTGTCGCATGAAACATATTTTTGTGTTACAAAGCATTTGGAATGCCTGAGCCATATGAGGTGCTGTATAAGAAGAATCACAGGGGAAATCTTAGAACCCAGATTTCCAGGTATTTGTGAATAAAATACACATATATTTGAATCTTATAGGGATGTATATTATGGTAGTATCATTTTAAAAGCTCAAGATAATTTAGTAAATTGTTCACTGATCATTCTAACACTTTCCTAAAAGCCATTTAGAAAACAGTTATTAAAGATTGGGGAAAAAAAGCTTTGTTTAATATTCTGCTAATATGACCATCCTTCAGGAAAGCATCAGCAGAAATGATAAGAAAAGCATTATGACTTTCCTTTTGGAAAACAATTATTTCTGAACATCATTATAACTAACCAATCAGACCAATATTCTGTCAGTTTTTTGTTTTGTACATTCCACTATAAGTTGTTCAGTAATTAAATACATAGGTGTGGCTATATTAAATACGGAATTGTAACTGTTGGACCCTGTCAGCAGCAAACTTACATCACTTGTGTTACTTCTTAAAAATACAAGTGATAGGACAGCCTCTGGAATAAATAGTGTTGGAAAAACTGGCTCTTTGTATGCCAAAGACCAAAACTATGCCAAAGACCATGTCTATCAACATGCACTAAGCTAAAGTCAAAATGGATTAAAGATCTAAATATTAAAACAGAAACACTCAATCTACTAGAAAAGAAAATGGGTAGAAATCTTGAAGACATATGCATGGGCATAGAGTTCATGAACAAAACCTGAACTGCATGGGAAATACTTCAAAGAATCAAGAACTGGGACCTCATCATATTAAAAAGCTTTTGCACATCAAAAGAAATTATCAACAGAGTGAAAAGACAACCCACAGATTGGGAAAAATTTTTAGCCAATTGTCCCTCAGACAAAGGACTTATATCTAGGACACATAAAGAAATGAAAAACAAACAAACAAACAAAAAAACAAAAAAAAAAAAAAACAGACCTCCCAAATTCAAAGACCCAATCCAAAAATGGGCATCTGAGAGGAATACACATTTCTTGAAGAAATACAGATGGCAAATAAATATACGAAAAAATGTTCAACATAATTGGCCATTCAAGAGATGCAAATTCAAACAATGCTGAGATTCCATTTCACTCCAGAAAGGATGACTGTTATAAAAAATCAACCAATAACAAGTGCTGGAGGGGCTGTGATGAAAAAGGAACTCTTCTCCACTGTTGTTAGGAGTGTAGACTGGTGCAACCACTATGGAAATCAGTATGGAGATTCCTCAAAAAGCTAGGAGTAGAAGTCCTGTTTGACTCAGCTATTCCTCCTCTGTGTATCTTCCCAGAAGAATCAAAAACATCATACCACAGCAATATATGTGCACCAATGTTTATAGCACCACAATTTGTAATAGCTAAATCCTAGAAACAACCCAAATGCCCATCAACCTGGGAATGGATACAAAAGATGGGATACATTTATACAATGGAGTACTACTCAGTAATAAAGAAGGATAAACTTGAGACTTTTATAGGTAAATGGATGCAACTTGAGACTATACTCATTAGTGAAGTAAATTAGACTCACATGTGTAAACATATCTTAAGTATTGTTATTATCCTGTTATGTTGGTATGAAATTCTTTTACTTTTTTCCATAAAAAAGAAAAAAAGGTAGAACGGAATGGATAATGATGCAAGTGAAATAAATTGTCAGTGGGTCTAGAGAACACACTAATAAAAATCTAGTGGAGCTAAAGAAAAAGATGCAAAACATAAGTGTCCAATATAGAAAAGAATGGGAGGCCATAAAAACATTTCAAACAGAAATCTAAGGTTAAAAATATGATTGAAAATATGAGGAGCAGAAGCAACCAATATAAGGACAGAGTGTCA